CATTTTATATACAATAACCACTGTATAATTTTATATACAATAAACACCGACACTCGCTGTTGTATTAAACTGTGTAAATTATACAGAAAGTCATCGTTGACACATAAACCAAAGAAAAGTAAAACGAGTATTTTGAACGATTTTTTTGTTTCCAAACACTTCTTTAATTAAAATGACAAAACTGTTATATTCAAAGTTTTCAAAGCATACGTATTCATATACATCTCTCTTTGAAGAAGAGAGAAATCTACTCTAATGAAAAGACGAGTTGGGAAAAGAAAGCTCTGACTAATAAAAGTACTCTTACAGAAATATTAATAGCTGAGGTTAAACAAAATATGTCATCCGAAAGATAATCGTTCACATGTATATCTTCAAGTCATATGATTTACTACAAATAACAGTGAGTTTGAGCTTACTCATATTTAAGCATTCCTTGTCGGAATTAATAAAAGTAGCAATAATAGCGTTTACCTATTTTCCGAATTGCGAAATAATTCAAAGCTCAAAATAAAAATCCGATTATCAAATTATTTTATAGTTGACAGCCTTGAAACTACTTGTCTTAACGTTACAACATACACATAATTCGCGCAGCGCTGGTGATTGCAGCGGTGACCTTGATATTTAAACTTGTCCAAACCTGTTGAATTAGAAAGTTATCAATAAATTTTAAAAACAACCATAAATATTCTCTCTACATAGCTGAAATATCTAGCTAATAGTGTTTTGTTTTTCATCTATAAATATTTGTGTATTTTGCCCAAAACATTGTGTCCCCCAGTGGATCAGAGGTAAGTTTATGAACTTACAACGCTTAAATTTGGGGCTCGATTATCCGAGGTGGACAGAACACAATGATATCCTACTGTATGACTTTGTGAAAACATAACAATTGTATTTTCATATACCAATGTTAGTGCTGCTTTTGCACGCTCTGGTTGAGTATTTTTTTTTTGTTGTTGTTATTTTATGGTTGTACATCAAGGTGAAAAACCAGTGAAGAGACGACAGTTCCATAACTAAGGGCTGATAAGTGGGATGGACTCTTCCATCTTTCGCATGCTGTTTAGTTACATATATGTGTAAAAGCGTGGGTGAGCCACTAATAACGATTCAAATATGATTCGTAAATTGATTTTGAGTAACCTTTCAATTTAAGACTAAAGCATCGACAACAAGAAAATGACATTTGTTTAGCCTGTCAGGGTTTAACAGAAATACTGGAAATCTATTTTTCAATCTCATGTTCTTATTAGAATAAAGATACATTTGCGCACGCTCAAAACTGTCGCTCTCTTTCAAGGTCAAACCTAAGAATATATCAGGGACAACTAGGTAATACAATGTTGCGCAAGAAACCCAACAACACCTTACGAAGTTTCCTCCATTAGATATAATCCGTTGAAAGGGAAAACAAACTTAACTTCTGAAAGGCAGTAATATAAATCGTGACACACTGAATACTCATTGTTATGATTTTATCCTCAATAACAACTATTTGTTTGAACATAGACTGACCAAGAATATATAGTCAAAAACATTGATGGGAAAAACATTGTTACATGGAACATGTTTGCCGCATGTACGCGTAATAAATATATATATATATATACACAAAATACAATAGTCACTGATAATCATACTTGGGATACTGTGGGTCTTGAAATATGTGTGTGTATTATTGTGTTTTATTAAATGTCTTACAAACAAAATGAGTAAGATTAAACCGATGCACAGTTGTATTACCATGTCATAACAATTTATGATAAAAATGACATAAAACATAATTATGCTTTTATAAATACTAATTCATATTATAGTTAAAAGATGGTTTGTTTTTTTTCGAGCAAAATCCACATTGGGCTATCTGCTGCGTCCACCGAGGAGAATCTAGCCCCGAATTTTAGCGATGTGAGTCCGTAAACTCACTGTTGTCACACCGGGAGACATGTAACATGGTAAAGCACTAATATTTAAGCTTATAAACCATCAAACATAATGAAAATGAATGAAAACCTTTAAATAATATCTGTTAAAAAAAATCAACTAACTAAGCTAAGCTATGACTTTTAAATCAGACTCAGTCTGCTCTTATATTCCCTCTTGTCATCTTTTCTGAACATGAGATGACACAGAAGACTCAGAAACTCTGACTTTGAAAAATGAATTCAAGTAGAGAACACAATATATATGTATATGTGAAGAATTACTTATCACGAGAAGTACCACGCGATACCAGAATTAATAATTATCCCATTTTCTTAGAAAATAAAGCTCATTATAGGACATGCGGCCCCTGCCGGACGAAACTATAAACATAGTGTTCGATTATCAAACACGAATTTCAAAACCAGTCAAGTGACCTCTATTATTTCAATTCAAAGTTTTATGTATGGTTGCGAAACGATATTATTTACAACAATATGATTGTTTGTTTGTTTGTTTTGAATTTCGTGCAAACCTACACGAGAGCTATCTGCGCTAGCCGTCCCTAATTTAGCAGTGTAAGACTAGAGGGAAGGCAGCTAGTCATCACCACTCACCGCCAACTCTTTGGCTACTCTTTTACCAACGAATAGTGGGATTGACCGTCACATTATAACGTCCCCTACGGCTGAAAGGGCGAGCATGTTTGGTGGGACAGGGATTCAAATCCTCGACCCTCAGATTGTGAGTCGAGCGTAAACGAGGAAAGATTACAAGAAAATAGATTAATATATTGCAACATGTACTTTCTATTACGTTATTCTCTATATTCAAAACGTAAAATCTGTTCAATACTTTTTACCCAGACGAATAGTATTATTAATATTCGTCAAATGATCATGATCGTTATTACATGTATATGATTATCAAAGTCAGTAAGTGATCAGAGTAATTTTAAAGTGCTCACCCGTCAAAAAGATTTAATCTAAAGAAAATAAAAACTCTTTATTTCACGCTCTAAGAAAATATAAATTTTCAATATAGTAAACGCGTTTTATCGTATTACTAGAGCGCCTTACACGTACTTTGGCCCGACACAGCCAGATGGTTAGGGCGCTCGTCTTGCAATCTGAGGGTCGAGGATTTGAATCCCGATTCCACCAAACATGCTCGCCCTTACAGCCGTGGGGGCATTATAATGTGACGGTAAATCACACTATTCGTTTGTAAAAGAGTAGCCCAAGAGTTGGCTGTGGGTGGTGATGACTAGCTGCCTTCTCTCTAGTCTTTCACCACTAAATTAGGGAGGG